TGAGTGAGTGAGTGAGTGAGTGAGTGAGTGAGTGAGTGAGTGAGTGAATTAGAAAATACATAAATAAAGTAAATAAGTAAGAAAGTAGGCAAATACCAAAGTACGCAAGTAAGTATGTAAGTAAGTCAGTACGCAAGTAACTAGGTAAGTACCTAAGTTCCTATTTACATATGTAAGTACGTACCCAAGTAAGTAAGTACCTAAGTACGTAAGTAAAAAAAAGTATGTAAGTCAGTACGTAAGTAAGTAGGTAAGTAAGTACCTAAGTATGTACGTAAGTAAATAAGTCAGTAATTGCATACCCAAGTAAGTAAGTACCTAAGTAAGTAAGAAAGTAAGTACGCAAGTGAGTACGTACCTAAGTAAGTAAGTACACAAGTAAGTAAATACCTAAGTATATACCAAAGTAAGTAAGTACCTAAGTAAGTATGTAGGTAAGTATGTAAGTAAGAACCCAAGTAAGTAAGTACAAAAGTAAGTATGTAAGTACGTATCTAAGTAAGTGCATAAGTACATAAGTAAGTAAGTAGTAAGTAAGTAGGCAAGTAAGTACCTAAGTACATATGTAAGTAAATAAGGCATACCCAAGTAAATAAGTACCAAAATACGTAAATAAGTAAGAAAGTAAGTAAGTATGTAAGTAAGTCAGTACACAAGTAGGTAAGTAAGTACCTAAGTATGTACGTAAGTAAATAAGTCAGTAAGTATGTACCCAGTATGTAAGTGCGCAAGTAAAAAAGTTTGTAAATACGTAAGTACATAAGTATGCAAGTGCACAAGTACGTACCTAAGTAAGTAGGTACCCAAGTATGCAAGTGCATAAGTAAGTACGTAAGTAAGTATGTACCCAAGTAAGTACTTAAGTAGGTAAGTAAGAACCCAAGTAAGTACATAAGTAAGTAAGTACCTAAGTAAGTAAGTACATAAGTAAGTACGTAAGTATGTACCCAAGTAAGTCACTAGTCCACAAATAGCATGATAAAATAGTTTTACAAATATAAAAAAAAAAAAACAGTAATGTATCCAAGGATAAACTCATTTATGAGGAAATCTTTCTCCTGGAACTCCATTAACTGGTAGATGAAAAGCAGATTTAGTGTCAGAATTATAAGAATTCTTACACATTCCTAGTAAAATTAAATATACAGAAATAATACAACTTCTCTATGAAAATGGTCTCAATGCTTTTTAAGTAATGTCTTAATTTAAGAGCACAAAGTAACCATAAGCCCACTTGACAGTGTGACATTATTTTGTCCTTTTGTAAGTGATATGTTAAAGTTCTATGTTTCATATATATTTGGTTACAATGAATGTTGATCTATTTTACAGATTTTTGACTGAAATTACAGTTATTCTTTAGTTTTTAGTATCATTAAGACATTTTTTTCTAATAACTGTTTTTTTTTAACACATCAAAATTATATTACCACAAAAGAGTTAAGAAAACAAACAAAGCCATTTATGTAACATGATTATTTTAAACTGTTATTTTTACAGTGCCACATCTTCCAGAATATTTCTGTTTTCATCTTTTTATGCTTTTTGTGTTAGTCTGAATGTTGCAAAACATGTTTTAAACTTGAGAAAAACCTTTATAAAATAGAGGCTTTTTATATTCTGTGTCTGACTGTCTGAAAAGGGCTGATGGATAAAGATTTTTGAAAACGAGGAGTGGAAAACAAAATACTCAAAACATAAGAGTCCTACAATACTTAACACACACCCAACATAGTAAATTATGATAATATAACGAATGTACAAGAAACAGAAAAAACAAAAATCTAATCCTAATCTGATTTTAGTTTTAAACTTTCTCAAATGTGTATACTTCTGTATGTGAAAACCAATATTGTTCGAAAACTCTTTAATCTTTAATATTTTTTATTCGATTGCCATTTGTCTTTCTTGTAGAATCCATTGTCTCATAATTCATTTAGTTGGAGCCAAACAAGCGGCAGAAAACAAAATTAAAACGTTATTAAGACCACCGTTTGCCTTTCTGAAAAGCCAATACTTTCGAAGACCTTCAAACACCCGGTAGTTATTTCCCACCACTGCAGCCTGGAAACTGTCAATAAATATTGAGCTGGAAAAGATCTCTCCCTGAATGAGTAAAATGTGTAGAAACAACCCAAGGGGTTCTTGAATTGACCTTTTATAGAAGAAGAAGAAAAAAAATCCAGAAGCCATTGCACTGCGGTGTTAAGAGTATGGATCTGCATTAACCGGTGGCTTCATGTTACCTTGTAGTTTCGACAGGTTGGGTTGAAAGCATTGGTACCACAGGCAAAGAGACTCTCATCATTCCGGGGCACGAGCACTTTCACATAATTGTAGCACTCATCCTGAAACAAACAAAAATACGTAATCGGGGTGAAAACAGATTTTCACTAAAGAAATCCTAGAAATTTTTTAAACAAAAGTACCGCATACGACACCTTATACACCTGTCAACAAATGCTACAATCTATAGCAATGACCTTGACAAGAAAAGACTTCCTATAACATTTGACCTTGAAATTAAACCGGGTTACATAACCCACTGTCTCGTGGTGGCACAAGTGTGTATCAAGTTCCATTGAATCATCTTGCTCAGATCAAAAGTTATGTGTGGGACAAGCAAAGACATTGTTTGAATTTTGATCTTGATTTGTGACCTTGACACTTAGGCGATGGAAATATTACATAAACTGTCTATTAGTGGTAAAAGGGTGTATCAAGGCCCGTTGTATGATCTTGTTCAGATCAGAAGTTATGGGTGGGACCAGCAAATACATTGAATTTTGACCTTGATTTGTGACCTTGACACTAAGGTGATGGAAATATTACATAAACTGTCTAGTAGTGGTACAAATGTGTATCAAGGTCTGTTGAATTATCTTGTTTAGATCAGAAGTTTTAGGCAGGGCAAGCAAAGACATAGTTTGAACTTTGACCTTGATTTAGGACCTTGACCTTAATGCTGCCATGATGGAAATATTACATAACCCACTGTCTTGTAGTGGTACAAAAGTGTATCAAAGTCTGTTGAATTATCTTGTTTAGATCAGAAGTTATGGGCGGGACAAGCAAAAACATTGTTTGAAATTTGACCTTCATTTGTGCCCTTGACCTTAACACTGGGGTGATGGAAAAATTACATAACCCACTGTCTTGTAGTGGTACAAATGTATATAAAGTTTCATTAAATTATCTTGAGCTGCTCAGAAGTTATGACAAGAAAGTTTTTGGCAGACGGACGGACAAAGACTTTACCGTAATCATCTTTCAACGGGGGTATTATATTATTAATAATAATAATGATGATAATGATAATAATGATAATAATAAATAACTAGAAGAGAGAAGATCAAGTATCAAATTGTGTTGAAACAAACTTACGCTGTTCTTTCCTCTGACCGTGCACTTGCTGACGTCCGTGGACTTCCATGTCAGCTTCTGAAACACAGGCCAGAGTGGAGGAGAGAGTCACTCTTCTCGAGATGTCTGCTAATAAGTGTTGATTAGATACGAACGCAAACACACAGGTGAGCAGGAAGATGAGTCATGTCTGACTGGAGAGCTGTTTGAACAAACACTCCAGGTCCATCAGTGAGCAGCTGCTGAGGCTACAGCTCAGATAAATGTTGGCAGACGCACAAAATAAAGTTGTACAACAAATCTGTTATGTGGGCTGGAGCTTTCTGTTTAGAAACAAATAGTCCTCGGGAGGCAGAGGTGTGTTCAAATGTAATTTTTTCACTGTTTACCAAGATATTTTATAAATTCCTACAAAAAATGATACAGTTCCAGTAGAAACTATTGAGGAAACTGAAATATGGAAAGTTGGAACTATCTCCAAAGGTTGCCATGAATGCATTTGAGTATGATCAATAACTTGACAAGATGACGTGATTAACAGCAGGGAAACTATTTTGTTACATTGAGTTTTAACAAATTTTACATTGGAACTTCATCTGTATTGATTTTAAAGTGTAAGCCGTTACAAATTTAAGCAAGGCCACTAAGACTCAAGATGCATCTACCGGTAGTCTTAAATCTTGATCAATACAAGATATATGTCGCCCCCCTCAGTGTTTTATATTTTCTGACTGATTTAAGATTACAAAATTGGTTAGGACCAACAGCAAGTGATTTAAAGTGATTTAGCCATTTTAATTTACCAAAATTGATTGATTCATCTGTTTTTTCTGCATTAAACATGATTGGGAGTTGTGTAATCAGCAATTTCTGATTTGCAAATCCTGCCAAAGTTGAAGTCATGTTTGTAGACTTCAATCCACATTTTAAAAGGCTTTACTCGAGGCAACGTTACCACAGCTGAAGCGGCTGATGTTTCCATTAGCATGCAGAAGAAAACAAAATCCTAAAGACGTTTAAAAAGTAGATACAAAATACGATCGCCCACGCTGAGTGTTTCGGTAAAAAAAAAAAAGACAAGATCTCTAAAGTAAAGCACGTAAAGAGGCAGAGATGAAGCGAGGCGGTCCTCAGACGCACTGCTGAGGTTGAATCATTGATAACAAATAGAACAGCTCACATCAAAGCCCACCATCCTGCAATACACCAGGAAGCCTATTACTGTCACAAGCCACCCTCTAACCTTTTTCCTTTGGTTTAGAAAGAGTTGTGGAGATCAAAGGAAACGTCCTTTGTGCCGCCTCAAAAATTACAAGCCACTATAGTTAGGGGTCCAAGCCAGCGAAGGTGATGGAACAACCTCCATGCATCCAGCGGAGCATGGAATCCTATAGATTCATAGAAACTGTTCCGTATATAACAAAGTCTATGCTCAATAATCCAGGTATACAATCCAACATTTTTCAGTCAGGTCATCTGGAAAGTTTCGTCTTTTTTTGCTGAAACGTTTCACCTTCCATCCGGATGGCTTCATCAGTCAAGAAAACACACGACAAAACTGATTCTTCCCCCAACAGCTTACTCCAAAGTGGAACAAACCAGTTATGTTGGTGCTAAGATGGTCTCTTTGGCATGCCACCTCCTCCAATGCTGGCCCTCTTCCTTGATGACAGTTGTGTCAGACTGGTAGAAAACAACAAAGTCCATGTTCAATAATCCAGGTATACAATCCAACATTTTTCAGTCGGGTCATCTGAACGGTTTCTTCTTTTTTGTGCTGAAACGTTTCGCCTTCGATCCAGAAGGCTTCCTCAGTCAAGGAAACACACAACAAAACAGATTTTGGATGTTCCGTATATAATTACTATTATTTTTTTATATTCCGTAAGTAAAAGTCATACATCAGCCCAAACCGCAAGGCGTACCGACATAATAATTATATGGTGGTAACTATGGCCTGTGTGTGCGGCACAGACAAATACTCTGACACGTTTACCTATAGGGGGCGCTATCATTAAGGTGTTTGCATTTGTTTTTTGTTTTTTAATTTACAAACCTTAGGTTACAAAATTTATTGGCTTATATTGTCACAATCCCAGGTTCATATGCCGATTTCGCCAAAACTGTCTTTTTTTTTTTTAACCACGTTGCAAAGTTTGCGAAAATTACTTTACTTTTTCGCAAACGATTGTAGTTCAGTTTCCATCACTCACCATCCTGAATCTAGATAGCGTGCTGAACGTCGGTTCTCAAGGATAAATAGTTTGTTTTTAAAACATGCGAATTAGCCTAGGCAAATGGTTTTAGCAAGCTAGCTAAAGACACATTCAGCCATATCTTCAAAATACTAGTAGATGATAAGATGAAATTCATAATACTGTTAGGAACATTAATTTTGAATTAGTGGACCAGATTTGACAAACATTGAGTTATAGCGGATGCTATAAACTACAAAAAATGTTCTCTCAAAAATGACTAATCAGAAATTTATGAACATTTGTACCGATATTTAGAACAATGCCCTGAACTTACTCCTAAAGCTGATTTTTGTTTGAATAAACTCAACCTTTTGCTTTTTTAAAATTAATATTTCATTTTTAATATTCTTAATCATATACATCCTGTATAAACTTTTTTTTTTAATATATAGTTTGACTCGAGGTGTATATAAACACGCCATGTCAGTCATTAAGGAATATGTTCAGAATTTAATACAAATCTTGCAATTTGGTGGGATTTTTTAAATTTCATTTAGTCACAAAGAGCCTCTGACTAATCCTGACTGGCATAATTTAAGTTAAATATTGATTAAAACAACTGAGGTATACTCTTTTTGTTATGGCGTCCATCTTGTATCATGTGAACTTTAAAAGTTGTAGATTTACGTCCAATGATTGAACAAGTCCACACAGACAGTCATGGGCAATTCCATGGTCGCCCACCTTTTATGGCGGTAAGCAATAAAATCTACAATGAAGGAGTGAGAAATGGTCCCAGAGTAATTTACACAATAAAACCAAAAACGTTGCTCCTTCCGAGTCTTCAACCAGTTATCTCTTTAATATAGCTGCTCAACAAGTTCAGAGCTCAAAGAGCAGCAGGCGGCAGCTCCAGGGCTGAGCAGAACTCTAACTCCAGAAAGTCAGGGTTTTTTTTTTTACACTTAAAACACATTTTGTGCTCTCTGGAAGCAACGCACCCCAAAATAAACTGTTTATGGTATAAATTTACCCACCAGCTGCGGGACAAACTCCTCTGAAGCCGCCGTCAGGTTCACAGCAAACACGTGATCCCTGAGGAGTTCAAAGCACAGAGTCAGACTAAACGTGCAGATTCACATCTCTGGAGATTTGGAGGATTCTGGTGAACGTGCTTCTTCGTTCTCGTGCGGTTGTTCCCAAGTGTGCTCCGTCGAATCAACTTTAGCATTGTTTTGCTCCATTGTTACGGTTTTTTAATTAGGATTAAACATGGATTGATGCTGATTTTAGCTTTTATCGCGCTGATATTGGCTTTAAATGTGTCGCCTACCCAGAGATTTTTCAACTCTGACGCAGATTCTGTGTTAAGGAGTCATAATTATAAGCAAAAGACCAAAACAAGCTACAAAGACAAATCTTTGAAAACTACATTTAAATATGTTGAGTTTTTTATTTTTTATGTTTTTTTTAAACGGCAAAAATCACAAAACAATATATCATTTTCCAGTATAGAAAAACTGTTACGAATATTAAAAAGTACAAAACACTAAAAAGTATGTTTTTTAATTTGTTTGCGACAAAACTAAATAAATAAATACATTTAATTAGCTACTTCCATAAGAAAAGATAAAAGTAGACAATAACTTAAATTTTACATAAAATAACGCACTCATATTTTAGGTAGCATTAAGTTCACACAGCTAAAAGTTGTCTTTAAATAACTTTTATTTAATTAGTTCCTTTGCACCAACATCTGTACAGTAACTGAAACTTTGCTTTAAACATTTTTATAAATATCATGATGTGCTTTTTAATTAAAAATAATAATAATGTGTAATGTATTGTCATCATTGTATGTTCCCATACAATGGCAAAATTGGCTCTGACTTTTAACCCATCCACCACTAGATGGAGCAGTGGGCAGCTATGGAAAATGCCTGGGGAGCAACTGGGGATAAGGTGTTCTGCTCAGAGACACCACAAGATGTGCAATGACCAGGGATCGAACTCGAGATACCTACCATTATTTTTCAGCTCACAAACCAATCAAACCCAACTGCATTCCCAGTGTGTGCATGTGTACATTTTTGTTTCAGTTTACCCTGTGGGAACCAATTTTACAAAAAAAACCAACATGCATTGTGGGAACCAACTGCTCTTTATGGGACCAAGGCAGGTCCCCATAAGGAGAAGTCTCGTTGGGGGGTTAGGGTTTAGGTTTAGGTGTGAATTTTGGATCGGTTAGGGTTAGCGTAAGGGTCAGGGTTAAGCTATAGACAATGAATGGAAGTCAATGCAAAGTCCCAAACAGGTATGTTTACAAGAACGTGTGTGTGTGTGTGTGCTGACCTGGCTGCAATGTACAGCATATGATTGATCCGTAACATTCTCTGAAAATCTAGTCCCAGACGCAGAGTGTCGTTGTCCTGAAGCAAACCTTGAAATCCTGGATACAGGTACGACTCTGCAAACACACAATGTGGATTTGAACATTTTGAAACGTTCTTTTTTCTAATCCCTTCACTCCAAAGAAATTCCCCTATAGGCTACCTACAAACAACATTAAACACATTAAAAAGAAGAGAAACAGGCAACTGTAACAAATAACTTTACACATGGGGGTAAAATGAGGAATTGCTTTTTGCTACTTAAAATGTGACAAAATGAACTAACGAAAAAAAAAAACTAATAAAAACTTAGAACATTCAAGATAAACCATATTTACTGAGATCTCCCAAGGTATTTAATTAACTTTAAAGCTTTTTAAACATGTCCTGAATCTTTCTTTTTTTTTAATTTTTTTTTTTAAGTTTTGGCCATTATTTCTTTTTTATTTTTCTTAATTTTAATCATTCATTATTGCCCGATTGTTTTATTATATGTACAGCACTTTGGTCCTATGGGTGTTTAAAGTGCTCTATAAATAAAGCTGGTATGGAATAATCCAACAACTGGCTCGTAACTAGCATGGACTTGGAATCAAAACGATCCTCTCACGTTCTGAGTTGACCACACTGAGAGGCTCCAGGTCTTTCGGGAAGGATGTTGTTGAGACCGACTCCGACACGAAACAGGAAGTGAAAAGGAGCGTCAGCCTCAACAACAACAACCACAGCCAGTCGGTCGGGGCCATTTTGCAGGAAACCTCTAGATGAAAGGAGGGCAGCGAGGTGAGATGGTGATGTCAGCAGGTCATGACGAACATCAGCTGTCAGGGGACAGAAAGAAATGACTCTTAGAAGAAAAGCTAAAAGGCCCAAGTGTTTATCTTTCTAGATCATTTGCTTCAACCGAAGCCATAAATTGGATGAAAATTAGCACTTGACCCTGCATTAACCTGTAAAGTCACAGTGCAAAACACAAAATTAATTGCATACATTTGCATACTGATGTGTTGTTTGTGTCATCACACAAAAATGCATTTATCTTCATTAAATTCAAGACTTCACTCTGACAATTGATGCTGAGGAGCTGGTTCGGTGCAGAGCACACAAATCAGTCATTGAAAGTAAAGAAATGTCATAAATTAGACAAAAACAACAACAAAAAGGCAAAAAACAGAAAAGTTTGTGAATGTAATCATTTGTTTGGAAACATGAGCGATTACTGTTAAGTCCTACATCCTCCATGATTATAAAGGAAGTCATTCAAAATTTAAATTACAATTATTATTTATCATAATAACTTTTGTTTTATCCTCATAGCACTTAAAAAAAAAACTTCAGAAACCTTCTACGATCATCTTTCTTTGACTTTCTCTTTCCGTTTGCCCTCCCATCATATCATACAGAAACAAAATACAAAAAGACGAGCACATGAAGGGATGAAGGGGACACCGTCTCCTCTGATCCCCTCCTCCATCAGATTCTTGATGCATGCCTCTCTGGATTTGTTCCATCATCCAAAAGTGACAAACACAAGAAAGGTGGACTCAGAAGTGGAGCAACACTTTTTTTTTTTAATAAACCTTTTGTTTTTCCCGCATTAGAAATTAACTTAAAATGAGAAAAAAAAAAAAAAAAGTAAGTGAAAATGTCTTGATATCTCCTCAGTTGTTTTTCTTTCATTTTGACCAAAAACATCAATAGTCATGTCGGCTGGACGTTTTTCCCCATTTCAATTTAACCTCAATCTGCAACTCTTTCCTCTTTCTTTAATAAATGTGAGTTAGGGGAGATGAGGAGGTGAAGAGCATCAGACAGCACACATCAAGGAACATTGTTCATTTCAACTCATCTTTTCAGACAAGTACAGCTCTATACACATGGAAACTACATACAGTATATTTCAGATTATAAGGTGGAAAATCAATGAACGGGTCTGTTTTCATACATAAGGCACATTAAGCGAAACAAGTTCATTTCAATATATTTTTGGATGCTGTGTACCACATTCAACCTTTATTTATACAGGTTAATACCGTTGAGCATCGGGGGCTCATTTACAAGAGAGACTTGATTCTAGCAAAGATTGATGACCACAACAGACAATCATAAAGGATGGGTACAAATTAACTTATTTCTTTTAACAAGTGAAAATAAAATGGCAATTAAAAGGATAATTAAAAGGAAAAGTAATGAAAAAAAAAACAGCTAGATTGTAAGGCTGTGTAGAAAACTAAAAACAGGAACATGTCTGCATTGTGAATAGTAAACAGCCATCAGTGTGCTAATGATCCATCATTAGGCTGATGGTTCTTCTTGACCATGTGAGCAGCTGGTTTTGGTTGTCAGCAGCAAACTGGTTGATCCACTCTGAGAAGGTGCTATTTATAAGACTGAGCTGAATACAGCACCTCAGACTGAGGAAGGCTTTCGGATGAAAGACGAAACGTTTCTACAATTTATTTTATTTTTATTTTTTAGAATGTCCAGAGGACTAGATTTAACTTTTTTAGATTTTTCTACCTGGATTATTGAGCATCAGGATATGTCTGCACTGGTTTTTGCCAGGATCTTAACAGATGTTTAAAGCCACTTAGAGAGGTCAATGCTTCAATCTATTTGCAAGATATTCCAGGAAACGGGAGCGGAGTAGGAGAAGGCCCTTTTGCCTAGTTCAGTCTGCACAGAGGGGACACTGCCGGTAATAATGTCCTGAAAGAGCACGCTGTAGCTGCACTCACACAGTAACATTTTGGAGGGGATGTATGAAGGCAATAGACCAAGAAGTGATTTAAAGATGAAAATGTACCAGTGGGAGAGTCTGCGTGAAGTTAACGATGTCCAGTTAACCAGTGAATACAGGGTGCAGTGGTGGGTATGATAGTTACAGCCAGTTATGAATTTTAGTACTGTGATAGACAGCATCCAACATCTGCAGGGTTCTTGTAGGAGCATTCATGTAAATAATGTCACCGTAGTCAATGGAGGGAAGGAAAGTCGCAGTTACAATCCTAGCATTGAGAGTTAGACAGGATCTATTTCTGAAAAAGAAACCCAATTTAACTTTCAGTTTCTTTACTAAGTTTTCCATGTGAATCTTAAAAGAGAGATGTGTGTCGACCGAGATAACCAAATATTTGTAGGAATCAACAAACTCAATAGGGACACATTTGAGGATAAAATCAGAGGGAAACTGCTGGGACTAACTTCCTGCTTGAAAAAAAGCATCCCTTTGGTTTTGTCGGTGTTTAGGACAAGTTTGAGATGGAAGAAATCTGACTGGATGATGTCAAAAGCTGGAAAGCCTTAGCAACTGTTTTAGCTCGACAAACAACTGTGTCATCAGCATAGAAATGTAAAGCATCAGGGATGCTCTAACCTACATTACCAATGTAGATTGTAAAGAGGGTGGGTCCTAAGACTGAGCCTTGTGGTACATCGTTGTTGACTGTTAAATAACTGGAGGAAATACCAATATGTTGAACACATTGCCTCCGATCTGAAAGATAGTTAGAGAACCAACCAATGGTGTGATCTGAGAAACCACTTTCTGAGAGTTTATGACATATGATGTTATGATCCACAGTGTCAAAAGCTTTAACATATAACATAAAATCAGTTCGAGGTCAGTAAGCACAATCAGAATTAATACATAAGGCACACCGGATTACAAGGCTAACTGTAGAATTTTGAGAAAATTAAAAGATTTTAAGTGCACCTTATAGTCCTAAAAAATATGGTAACTGATCTGAACAGGTTGTTTTAACACGGTTATTCCACCAGAAAATTATAATCAGTGTGGCTGAAACTGTGTTCAAACAGAATACACTCACTTTTCTGTTCAGTAGCAGTAATAATAGTCTGAAAAGTTCTCCACCCTGCTTTAAAAAAAAATAAAAAATAAAATCATGGACCTTTGATAAGACAGCTTCTGTCATGTGATTGGTGGAAATCTTGTAGTGGAGTATTAGAACTTCAGCATGTTTGATCAAACTGCTCGTAGCAATAAGTTGCCTTTCACTCTGCCTGCTGACAGTTAAACAACCTGGAGCTTGGAGCGGATAGTGCTCATCTTACTACAGTCACGGGCACTGTATCTGAGATGTTTTAAATGAAAACGTCAGAGTTAATGTCTGGTAACGTTGAGCTGAAGTTTGAATAACTCATATAGAGTTGAAACAAAAGTGCTGTGTCCAAATAGAACGGGTAGAATTTCTTCTTCTTTAATGAGACTAACAGCTACAGAGTGGTGAGGTGTTTCTTCCAAATGGCAAACATCATTGACAGTAACTGCAATAATTTCTATTAAAGGAAAAACATCATTCAGGTGTGGGGAAAAAAAAACAAAACTGAAATTTCCTAACAAAACTAGCACATATATCCTGATGCATGTGCAATAATCCAGGTAAAAAAATCTAAAATAAATTCAAGTCAGGTCCTCTGGACAGTTTGTTGTAGAGACGTTTTGCTCTCTATCCAGAGGGCTTCTGTTTCCCCACCAAGCAGTAAACTCAAGTGGACCATCCAGTTTGATGGAGATAAGATGGTTTCTGGAGACTGTCCTGTACCCCCGTCGACTCTTCTCAGGCAGGCAGCCACAGCCAAAGTGGTTCAAAGCAACAAAGTTCATGCTCAATCATCCAGGTACCAAATCCAATAATGCAGTCAGGTCATCTGGGCAGTTTCTATTTTGGACAGACGTTTCGCCCTCTATCCTGAGGGCTTCATCAGCCTGAGGAGTTCCAAATAAACTGTTTTCCCACCAAGCAGTAAACTCCTTAAGTGGAGGAGTACTCTTCTGAACAGACAATAGGTAGATTTTGGACTGATTGTTTAATATGCCATTACTTAACATGGGCATGTATTTTTTACCTGGATTTCGCCTCGGATGTTTTTTGTTAGAGTAGTTTCAAAATACAGCTTTTGAAATCTTAGGACTGTTTAGAGATGCACACAACAAAACAGCTAACAAGACTAACTACATCGAAAAAAAATGTTTTCACAATTATATGAATATATTTAAAACTCAAGCAACAAAATTGTGAACCTTTGTGACTTAGACAAATAAATTGCGAACCCCGTAAATGTTTTACGACATTTTAAAGACTCTTGCAAATGTCGTTTCCCAACTCATCACCAACAGTCGCAGCCCAGTGATATATTTTTACAGAAAGGGAGACCGTGAGTTTCTTTCTGTTGCAAAGGAAAAGTCTTTCTGTTACCAGCCACAGAAATGAGAAAGAGCAGCTCAGATTGGAGCACACATTAGTGGAGACACATTTTCTTTGTTGGGAGCAGACTTTGTGAATCCGGCTTTCATGGTGCAATAGTTGCAAAGAAACAATTAATGCCCAAAAACCAAAATGGAGATAGGGAACAAAGGGAACTCATTACTTCAATCGAAATAAAAATTATTAATGAGAAAGGTAGAATAGAAATAGCGGTAAATCTAAACGCTGCCACCGACTGATGGAGATGTTACAGCGTTGGTGTTATGACGTCACAACACACGAATCTAGCATTGATAAATGAGAACTGAGCAATCCCGGGAGCATTTGTCTTTCACATTTTTCTACTAAATAATGATTTGAAACAACAGAGCAAACTCTCAGATGAGTCACATCTTGATTAATAATGGCCCCATCAATGCGTTTTATTCCCTGGATCATTAGTTTGCTGCTTAAAGCCAAGCAGTCATGATGCCAGTGAGCTGAAACTGAGACATATTGACTAACTAGTCAATCCCACACATGTGCATGTACAATTATGAGCTCACTTTAATGGGGAAAATGACTTATTTAAAGCTGGTTTGTGTATATTTTTA